GTCGGCGTTTTGGAGAAGCGCGTTGGTATCACCCAGACGTGCTCAACCACATGTGAAAGCCCACCGGTTGTTCAACAGCAGGTATGCCAGTAATTCTACGTTTCTCCGCTCATATTTCCTCATTCTCTAACGTAGTAGAATCGTCATCGTCAACATCAGCATCACCAACAGCTCCGTCACCATCATCATCGTGGTCGTTGCCGGCATCGTCCCATCACCGTCCTCAGTATCGTCATCATCATCATCAACATTTTCACCATCAACATCAGCCTCGGCATCATCGCCAGGACCGCTATCATCATCATCATCATCATCATCATCCTCGTCGTCATCATCATCATCATCACCATCATCATCATCATCACCAGCTGCATCATCACATTCGCAATCAGCATCGCCATCGCCTTCGCCCCTCGCATCATCATCATCACCATCATCATCATCATCATCATCATCATCATCATCATCATCATCATCATCATCATCATCATCATAATCCCCAACGTAAACATCAACAACATAAGAATGATGAGAGTAATACTGATAGCGATGCTCTCTCTTATTCTCTCTGCCCGCGCGCGTCGTGGTCGTCTGCAGCTGCTCCGGCCCTGAAGCCTCGCGCGGCATCCCTGGGCGGGCGCTTTATGTAGGCGGTTGCCCAGGCCGCCATCGAGGGTGTGGGGGCCGTTCTCATCCAAGGTCTGCGAGCCGCGTTCTGCGACCGGTTCGTGGGCCACCCTCTGGCACCTCTCGCGGACTACGTCGGCTCCTCCGCTGGGTCCTCGTGGTCCGTTCAGGCCGACATGAACGGCGGAGGTCACTGCCTTCCTGCCGCGGCTTGCCACACCGTCTGCCTGGGGCTGGCGGTGGACCTGAGCAGTGGGGTGACCCCTTTGCTGCTCTCGTCGGTCGTGGCCCTGTTGGTGACCACTGCCGGCTGCAGTCTCTGCGGAGGCCGTTGAGTCGGGGCTCCGGTGGCCCGCTGGCGGGGGTCCCCCTCGCGCACGGGCGTCGAGCGCAGCCCCTGGCGGATTCGGTCGCGGCCCGCAGCGCGCCCCGGCCTCCGGCCCGAGCGCGCAGGCTGAGGAGCGAGCGCGGGCATTGGCACGAGGCCCAGCCGCTGCGCTTCATCACGGCTGAGCTTGGCCAGCAGTTGGCGCGCTTCCAGCTTGCCAGCAGCCATGCCGGACGACGCGTCTGCGTCAGGGGGATTCGCCATCCCCGACGGGCCGATCTGGCCCGACCTTCGCCCGTTCTCGCCCCCGACAGCGTCGCGCTACGACCGCTGGCGGCTAGGCAAGGGCGAGGCGAGTTACGCCGCGATGCCCTCGGCCACCCTGCCGGGGGCGCCCTGCCGACAATCCTGGACCCTTTCGCTGCGGAGGGGTTCAGCGGGCTGGGCCCTGGGTGGCCCGTTCCAGGCGGTCAATTTGCCTTTGCTCGGCGCGGCGCTTCGCCCGCTGAGCGCGACCGCTTCGGTGCTGGTGGTCGACATGGAGACCTCCGAGCTGGATCTGGAGGCTCTCGCCCCTCTCGACGAGGGAGACGTCGACGGGCTTGTCCCGTTCGGATCAGCCCGTGGCCGCGCGCGTTGGCCGCGCCCTTCGGGGGTCGTCGGCCTGCGCGACGGCTGCGCGGCGATCCACGGCGGTGCGCCCCTGGGCGGGGAGGAGGCGCCCCCTGGCAGGGAGAGAGCAACGCCCTGCCACTCCACGGACGTGTTCGCAGGAGGCGAGAGGGGAATCGACGCCGACGCCGAGGAGCGCCCCCCCCTCCCTGTGCGAACGACGCCGCTGCCAGCGGTGGCCCCTCCTCCACCGCGGGTCCGTCTCGGCGCTTAAACGAAACCCTGGGCGAGCGAAGCCTGCCCCCATGCGGGGGGGTGCGACCATCAGCCGCTGCATCTCCTGCCGCAGGAGATGCAGCGGCTGATGGCTGCGAATGCGGCCCAGCCGGCGGCCCCACCGCTGGGGGCGCGCCCGAGCGCGCTGGGGCCCCGCGTCGACGCGCCCGTTCGCGGGCGGGGCGGCGCGCGCGGGCATTCCTGAGGAGGACCACCTCCAGGCGATGCCGGCGCAGTCGCCGCCCCCCGCCCAGCCCCGCGCAGCGCGCCCAGGGCCGCGCCCCGACGCCCGCGGGAAAAGAGGGCGCCTTGGAGTGAACGTCCGCCATCTCCGCCGCCCTCGGCGCCGACGCCGCCCCCTGCCCCCCCCTCTGGCCCTGCCGCGCCCGACGGGGTCGGCGACTACGTCGGGGGGGGGGGGGGGCGTCGCGGGAGACGGGCCTCGCCCGAGCAGCGCGCCAGAGTCCATTTTCGAATTGGCGCTGCTGAAGGCGGGGCAGCTGAAGGCGGCGACGCACCCCCTCCCGGGGGCGCGCAGCGACACTCGTCATCCCGCGGCCCCCACGGCGGTCGACGGAGGGATTCTGGGAACCTCGATGCGCGGAATCGCGCGCCGCAGTGAATCGCAGCAAGTACTGGTGCAGCACGGGCAGGAGGCCCGATCCATCCCATGGGCGAATCTTGCTCGGGCTCTGGGGGCGGAGCGGTCGGCGGCCACCCCCATAACAATGCTCCACTGTTTTTGATCGCCCCCAAATCGCTCAGCGATTTGCGGGGCAGAAAAACCTTCCAATGCGACTGGTGCCAAAAGGGTGCCTCTTCGCTTTCTGGCTTCCTAGCCTTGTGGTGGCCCTCGAAGTATGCGCTGTTGGGCGCCGTGGAGCGCTGCGAGGCTCTTTGCCTGGGTGCCTACAGCGGGGTGCTGCGGCTCACTGAGCGGGCGCACCTCCGTTCGCATCCGTCTTCCTTGGGCGGTAGGCAGAGCGCGCCCTTGCTGTGCACTTCCCCACATGCGGGACTGAAACCGGTGCTGGACCAACACCAAGCGAGCACGCCTGGGCCCGAAGACGCTGGCACTAGGACAAGAGCAGTGCCATCCTACCAGCGGGTGCACTTCCCGACCTGCTGGACCGAATGTGGTGCTGCCCGACACGCGGGCGCACTACCCCTGCAGAACTGAAAGTGGCGCAGCCCGACCTGCGGGTGCACTTCCCGACATGCGGGACAGAATGTCGAGCTACCCGACCTGCAGGTGCACTTCCCGACATGCGGGGCAGAATGTGGTGCTACCCGACCTGCGGGTGCACTTCCCCTGCGGGGCTGAATGTGGTGCTGCCCGACCTGCGGGTGCACTTCCCGATCTGCGGGAACGAAAGCCTTGCTGCCCGACCTGGACCTGCGGTTATGAGAGCAGTACGCCGGACCTGCAACTGCACACACAGAACGGCCCGACGAGGACGCGGGCAAAGCGGCGACGAGGGAGCGCGGGCAAAGTGGCGACGAGGAGCACCAGCTGAACAAACTGCAACAACCCGTACGAGCCACCACAACGGGGACCGCTAAGACTGCGAACTGGGCACACCTGGGCCGCAGCCGCTGCGAACGAGCACACCTGGGCTCGAACGCGCCGCCACACCTGGGGCAGCCGCGCGCTCCATGGCCGAAGGTCTCTCGGGTCCCGCAGTGGGAGGGGGCCCTGCCTATCGGGGTGTTGCGAGCTCTCCCGCCCTGATCGCTGCGAGCAGCCTCTTAACTGAGTTTTCCTCGCCGCAGAGCGCGTCGGGGTTCGTCGGCCCGCAGCCACGACGCGCAAAGATTTGGAGCACGCCCTCCCGCAGGTCGGCGCGTCTGCCCGCATCGCTGTCGGGCAGTTCGGGTAATGCAGCCCGGGCGGCGCTGCTCTCGTTCCCCCAGGTCGGGAAGTGCACCCGCATGTCGGGTGGCACTGCTCTTGTTCTCTTGGCGGTGTTCTCGGGCCGAGGCGTGCTCGCTTGGTGTTGGGCCAGCCCGGGTGTGCTGGCGTGCCCCTGGCGTGGCAGTGTCTGCGGGCCCAGGCGAGGTGTTGTGCCAGCTCAGGTGTTCTGCGCATTCCCTGCCCCAGGTGTTGCAGCGTCTGCGGTTCCAGGTGTGCTTGTTTGGTGGTGTGCCAGCCCGGGTGTGCTGCGCATCACCCCTGCCCCAAGTGTTTCAGCGTTTGCGGCCCAGGTGTGCTCGTTTGATGCGTGCCAGCCAAGGTGTGCTGCGCATCACCCGTGCCCCAGGTGTGGCAGTGTCTGCGGGCCTAGGTGTGCTCGCGTGGTGTGGTGCCAGCCCATGTAGCTGCGCATCATCCCTGCTTGCGCCAGTGTCTGCGGCCCCTAGGCGGCCGCAGAGATGGACCAGCTAACGCCAAGCACTCATCGCAATCGCAACCGCATTGTTTGTTTGCAAACCCAGTTGCGGGTGGGTGGGTGGGATGTTTGCAAGAGCATGGGATGCGTCAGTTCGTTTTTAACATTCAATTGTACCACGTAGATAGCACCTTGTAGATGGCACTAACTACGTACCACAGATTTTGCATCGCAGATAACCGCTGAATTTGCGCACCCAGGGTGCAATAGCGCATTGCTTGGGGCCCACGCTGGCGAATATATTCGGGGGGTAGTTCGGGAACAGTGCGCGGATGGTCTCAACGGGTGAGAGAAGGATGATGATGATGATGATGATGATGATGATGATGATGACGCCGATGATTATGATGATGATGATGATGATGATGATGATGATGATGATGATGATGATGATGATGATGATGATGACCATGATCATGATCATGATCATGATCATGGTGATGGTGATGATGAGGAAGAGGAGGCAGATAATGGAGGAGGAGGAGGAGGAGGAGGACGGGGTGTGGACCAATGGCACATGAAGACAGGTGTGCCGATGTTCGACGAAGAAGACATGAAGACAGAGGCGATGGAGGAAGAGGAAGAGGAGGAGGAGGAGGAGGAGGAGGAGGAGGAGGAGGAGGGGGAAGCTGAGGAAGGGCAGGAGGAGGAAGGGCAGGAGGAGGAGGAGGAGGAGGAGGAGGAGGAGGAGGAGGAGGAGGGAGAGAAACAGAGGGGCAGGAGGGGGAAAGGAATAGCACGAGCAGCGGCCACCTTCCGAGCCCGAGGCTGCCAAGAGGAGCCTGGAGGAGTTCCAGGCCCAGCTGTGGGAGCAGCACCAGGCCGCCTTGCCCCAGGGGCTTTCGGGGGCCAGGCTGCGGACTGCCGCGGGCGCGGTCGGCCACTGCTTGGGAAAGGCGAGGAGGACCGACCCATTCCCCCGGGCTGGTGGTAGGTTTGGATGGCTTTCGCGCGTCACTGAATAGGGGGGAGATTAATGGGGAGGGAGAAAGGTGCATGTTCGGGCCCTAGAAGCCCCTCTTGGGCCTTAGAGGTGTCGTTTAGGGGCCCTAGAGGACCCCGTTTCTACAGCCCTCGCTGCCCCCCCAGTCATCGCCCTTCCATTACACGGCGCCCAAAATTTCTTTGAGTTGATGTCTCACCCGCAAAGACCACAGGGAGCAACGCAGACCGGAACAGAACGAGCTGATGCGAAGCGATGCCAAGCTGCGGCAACGAACGCTAACTAATGTCAGGCGGTGCCAGGCAACGCAAAGCAATGCCAAGCAGCGCAGAGCAATGCCAGGCAACGCCAAGCAATGCCAAGCAATGCCAAGCAGTGCCAAGCGAAGCGAAGTCATGCCACGCAGTGCCGCTTCGGATGCGCTCGCTTCATCGGGGTCGCGTCTGGGCCCGTTTTTGCAGGGAGAGGTTTTGCAAAGAGGGCAAGTCAGCACGATGCTGTCTTCCAGATAATGGTCAGAACCGCCATGCGAACGACAACAGCACTTGAAGCACAGCGTGCCCACCGCGGCCGGCTCCCCGCGTGCCCAGCGGGATCTGCCCCGACCCTGCGCAGGCGGCGGTCCAGCAGGCCGCGCAGGCGGCGGAGGCGGAGGCGCGCGCGGCCCTGGCCGAGGAGGAGCCCGGACACGCTGGCGGTGCCCTGGGCATCGCCCGGACGTGTGCATGTTGTTCCCAACCCTCTTGTAGTCTTGGGCCCTCGTTTTGAAGACACGGCGCCACGCGCTTCTCCTCCTCCTCTCCTCTCCTCTTCCTCCCCCTCCTTCCGCCCTCCTCTCGTCACCCCCTCACTTTGGCACACCCCTCACACGAATCGTGGCCCAATAGGGAGCTAGCTCCACCTAGTAACGTCCCAGTGGCGCAGTCGGCATGGCGGCGGCGCTCCATTTTGGCAGACCCCTCAGACGTTTCGTGGGCCCACAGGAGCTCCACCCGAGGTCCCAGTGGCGCAGTCCGCATTGCGGCGGCGCCCCATTTTGGCACACCCCTCACACTTTTCGTGGCCCAATAGGGAGCTCCGTCCTGCCCGAGTTCGGCACACTCTTCACGCGCTTCGTGGCCCCATGAGGAGATCCACAGAAGGCGACACTAACAACGGCGGTAGTCACAACTGCGTATGGTTGGGTCCTTCGCCAGGCTAATGTTTCCACTCGCGGGCAGAAGGGACAGCACTCCGCGTTGCTGGCCCCGATAGCTCACAGCCTCTGCAGCTGCAAGCGGACCTTGTCATAGATGACGAGCAAGACGATCAGCAGTAGCGCACGCCCTTCTCCTCCTCCTCCTCCTCCTCCTCCTCCTCCTCCTCCTCCTCCTCCTCCTCCTCCTCCTCCTCCTCCCCCGTTGAAGTCGCCCTTGCCCCTGCCCGAGGCCAGCGCCAGAAAACCTGCGCCGTCTTGGAGCATCCTGGTGGGCCATCTTGAGAGCCATCCTGCCAGAGATCCAACGTACTGAAAAATGAAGACGGAGGTTTGTCGCATTTTCGGCCTCGAGGGGCCCTCGCCGGGCCCCGGGACCGTCCAAAAACGGCTCAGGATGAACAACCGGTCCTGGGGAGTGGGTCGAGACTTTCGGGGACCCCGCACTGGAAAAGTCACGACATCGGATCTCTGGGTCAGAGCCACCTTGAAGCTTCCTGGCGGGCCACTCAGAGCGGCCCGGTGGAGCACGAGACCAAACGGACGTCCGGGCGACGGCGGGTGCCCCGCTGCGCTGCTGCCCTGCTGCTGCTGCTGCCCGGCGGGGCCTCGCCGCCCTGCTGCCCTGAGGCCTCCCGGTGCCCCGCTGTCGATGACTTCGGCTTGAGTCGGGCCTGTCCCTCCATGGGAGGACTGCGCAATAACAATCAACAAATAATTATAGTCTGGTGGGGACGATGTTGTAAGTACTTTTGCGTAAGTTTTGAATATGTCTTGGGTTGTTTGTTTCTTTCGTCCAAAATCCGCCTGGAGGGGGACATGCCCGACCCAAACTTCGGCCCCACGGGGCCAGTTGCCGGGGCCCGGTGCCATCAGCAAACGGACCCGGGCGAAAGACTTCCCCCAGGGACAGGGGTCGGGATCTCTGGGGCCGCGCACTGAAAAACGCACCGTCGGGTGTCAGGGGACAGCCCTGGAAGCTTTCTCCGAATGGCTTAGGCGACCCGTCCTCCTCCTCCTCCTCCTCCTCCTCCTCCTCCTCCTCCTCCTCCTCCTCCTTATCCTCCTCCTCCTCCTCCTCCTCCTCCTCCTCCTCCTCCTCCTCCTCCTCCTCCTCCTCTCTCTCCCCCTCCTCCTCCTCCTCCTCCTCCTCCTCCTCCTCCTCCTCCTCCTCCTCCTCCTCCTCCTCCTCCTCCTCCTCCCCCTTCCTCCTCCTTTCTCTCCCTTCCTCCTCCTCCTCCTCCTCCTCCTCCTCCTCCTCCTAATCCTCCTCCTCCTCCTCCTCCTCCTCCTCCTTCTCCTCCTCCTCCTCCTCCTCCTCCTCGGGTCGCCTACGGCCCTGGGGGAAACCGTGCAGACAGGCCAGGGACCACGCCGACGCATCGGCGATGCGGCAGAATCTGAAACCTGTTTTTGTCGACGCCAGCGTGCGATCCGCCGACCCCATCTACTTCGACCCCATCTGGGAGGCCTCCAGCCTCAGAGAGTCTTTACTGCTGACGGGCCCCTTCCCCCCCCCTCGACTGGCAATTAAATTCGTCCTTCCCCTCCTCGTCCGTCCCCTCCTCATCATGATCATCATCATCAGCAGCAGCATCATCAAGATCCTACTCATCATCATCAGCATCACCATCATCGTCATCGTCATCATCCTCACCATCATCATCAGCAGCATCATCAGCATCACCAGCATCAGCGTCAGCATCAGCATCAGCATGAGCACCAGCGTCATCATCCTCATCACAATCATCGTCATCATCATCACCATCATCATCACCACCATCATCAGCATCAGCATCATCACCATCAGGGAGTTGTTATCATCATTGCTTTCGGGGGTTAAAGACCCTTTGCGGTAATCTCCAGGGGGAGTCAGGAGCACCCCTCCGAGCCTGTTGTTGCTTCCGGGTTCCGCCTTCGGGTGCGGCCCGGGGGCCTCTGGTGCCTGCTCCTCTTGGGCGCGCTCTAGAAGCAGCGGTCTGCGGTTGTGTCACCTCGCGCGCCACTAGCGGAGTCGCCGTCACAAGCATCAGCAGTGCCTACCCAATCATCCCCATCTTCATCACCATCTTCGGCACTATCATCTACACAGACAGAATCTCCACCAACAGTGCCACCAGCATCATCATTTCTGCCGTCACCAACAACACCATAACCAACGGCATCACCACCAGCGTCCGCAGCAGCAGCACCGCCACCACCATCATTATCCCCCCTCCGCACAACCCTCAGCGGACGAAGAACGGTACAACATATGTGTTCGCACCTTCGGGGACGCTTGCCCCAGGGCGGCTGCAGAGTGTCTGCCCCGACGCGCCACCGTAGAGCCATGAGCTCCCCAACTGCACTGGGACAGGCGCCCTCGAAGGCGGAAGAGTGTCGTTTACCGTCAGAACCATCGTCAAGGACGGACGTCTTGCACACGGCAGCCATGGCTTCCGCGCCGGTGCAAGGGCCTGTGCGTCCTCAAGGACCCTCCCTGTCGCTGATTGTGGCGCTGTGCCCTTCTTCGTCCCGTCGAGCTTGGCCTCTGCCGTGTCCCCCCCATCTGCGTGGCGTCGGGCCTCGCTTCTTCCTCGGTCGGTTCCTCCGCTCGTGGTCTTTCCCTGGCCCCTCGCCATGCTTCGCTGCGCCCAGCTTCTCCCCTCTCGGGGCCTCCGTCGGTCCCTTCGTCGCTGCTGCGGCCTCTGCCGCCTGGGAGTTCGCGCTTCGCCCTACACCGATCCGAAATCTTGAGAAGACACATCAGCGCCCACGGGCTCCAGATTTCGGAGGGAGGGAGGGGAGGGAGGAAGGTAAGAGACCTCAGGATCTGGACTTGACCCTGGGCGTTCTCTTGGAGCTTCTTTTTCCGGGGTAATGCTCGTACACCTGGACCTGGACCACAGTTTGAGAAGACGCTTGGAGTGACGTCCAGCTTCTAGGCTTGCTTGATTCTACGCAGGGGTGTAGACCCTGATGGGCCTGTTTTCCACCACCACCACCACCACCACCACCACCACCACCACCACCACCATAAGTTGGCAGGGGAGGGGGTTCTCCTCCTCCTCCTCCTCCTCCTCCTCCTCCTCCTCCTCCTCGTCCTCCGCCTCGTCCCCCACCTCCTTCCCCCTCCAACTCATGGTGGTGGTGGTGGAAAACAGGCCCGTCAGACCCCCCCCCCACCCCAAACTCACCCGCACCCCAGGAGCGCCGCCTCCAGTCCGAGGCCGAGGCCGCCCTGGCGGAGGAGGCCTGCGCTCGGCTCCCGGAGGCGGCCTCGGCCGCGCGCGCGCTCGCGCAGAGAAGCCTCGTCGGCATGGCCTCGGTCGCCGACGTGGCCTTCAGCCTCCAAGCCCGTCACGTCCGCCTCCGCTCCCTCCTCGTCCTCCATCCTCCGTCCCGCCTCCCTCCTCCTCCTTCTTTCTCCTCCTCCCGCTCGTCCTCCTCCTTCTCCTCCTCGTTCCGCCTCTTGCCCCCGCCTTCCTCCTCCTCCTCCTCCTCCTCCTCCTCCTCCTCCTCCTCCTCCTCCCCCTCCCTGGCCTGATGCCTGCCCTGGACTTGAGAGACCCTTCAAACATGGCGCGCCTCTATCCCTCATCAGTGTTACTTCCCCTCGCTGTCCTTCAACTTCCTCCCCCTTCGTCGCAGTCCTTGTCCTCTCTCTCTCTATCCCTCGCTCTCTCTCTCTCTCTCGTTCTCGTTCCCCTCCCCGCAGGAGTGGGGACAGCAGAAGCAGGAGCAGGAGGATAATTGGGATGAAGGAGGAGGGCGGACGAGGAGGAGGGGGAGGAGGAGGAGGAGGAGGAGGAGCAAGGTGGAAGGAGGGGGGTGCAGCTGCCTGCGCTGTCGCGCGAATCTGCCACCGCTTGGCGGGGTGGGCCAGGGGGCACGGCAGGCGCCTCCAGGCTGTTGCAGAGCGCAGGTTGTAGCAGGCGCGAAGAACGGTGTAACATCATTTGTCCGTCGCCGGGGGCGCTGCTCCAGGGCGACTGGAAAGTTTATACTTTGACGCGCCATCGTAAGGGTATGAACTTTCCAGCCGCCCTTGGACAGGTGCCCCCGACAGCGAAAAAGGTGTTTTTTTTATACCGTGCTTCGCCCGTTGAAGGCTGGGGGCCTCTGAGCTAGGCCCCGATGCTTGTCCGCAGCGGTGGTCGCTCGCTCGCTCGCTCAGCGCTCCTGATTGTTGCGCGGTGGCCGCAGGGTTTCTGGCCTGGCCTCCTCCTGGGAAGGGAAGGGTATGGGAGAAGAGCCAGGGCGGGGGCGGAAGAAAGGGAAGAGAGGGAGGAGAAGGGAGGATGAGGAGGCCCTGTTGCCTCAAGGATACACTCTCCATCCCTCGGGATGATCCAGAGAGGACATCAAGCAAACGTCAATATCGAGGGCTTCTTCTCAGGAAGGGTGCACAGAGATGGCTGGACGACTCGCGCCGCCGCTGCCAAAAATGCGCAGGGACCACACCAAGCAGCGAATGCACCTTGGGTTTGCTGCGCCTGTCGCCCTGGTGATATGTTTCGCAGGGTAGCGGGAACCACGGAAAAACGTAAGCGTTCAACACGCAGCAACATATGTAGGCATGTTGGCGGACTATGTGGGCAGAAAGAGTGGCAGGCTCATCATCAGGAAGCTTCCAGAGGTTGCAGGCATCGGAATTGACATGTCACGTTGGTGAATCTGTTGGACGCGCGAGGGTCCTCGTATTCAGGTTCCCAACACAGGCGCACTTGCGCCACTAGGTTGCTCTTCGCGCAAAATTGTACGACATGTATCCAAGCAGGTAAGACCTCTTTTGCAGGCCCTGGGACAGAGCGCTCCGAGGCTGAGGATACGGGTTTGGAGTTGCAGATGTTCTACACTGCGTGCGTGTGAGACTTGGGATGGGGCGCCTGGTGAACCTGGTTGGCTACGTGAGGTGCAACCACGGCCCAGCCATCAACCTGCATTGGGACAGCTTCTGCAGGAGGCACATGGAGGGCCGCAACATGGCTCCTGCGTCCTTGTCAAAGCCATTCCTAAGGCGATTACAATGTCTTTCTGTGAAGATCGGCTGGTGCTGGACGCTGGCCACCTGGATCGAGGCGTACGGACCTGGCTAGGGACCTGCCAGCAATTCATACTAGCTCACCTGGTGTCTTGGGCTA